GAGGGAGGGAGCGGGACTAAGAGATGGTTCTCGAGCCAGCCCTATTTTCTGACCACACTCAGTCCGTCCTGTCTGTGCGTTTTCCGGGTCATAGAACCCTGAGACTGTAGTACCCATGGGCTTCGTCTGACTGCTGTCGTCATAACTGCATCTGACCTTCGCCCGCGCGACACTGGCCACCGTCCACAGGGTAGCCCTGCATCCTGATTCCTAGATCAATTCGTTGTCGTCGCAGTCCCACTTGCCCCAACTAGGACGGCCTTCCATGGTGAGGTATGAGGTTTGCATGGGCGTTTCTCTGTCGACCGTTTTCAAGGCGGTATGCAAGCTTGTCTCGCATAGCCATATCCTTGTTAAGCGTGGACTTGGACGCGTGTTTGATAGGCGGGGAGAGGGAGGCGACGCGCGGAGCGCCACGCAAGCTTTGAGACGGCACCTGGACCATGGCCAAGCTCGGACAATCGGGGTCGTGAGCCATGTTGGGTCGTCCGCTCGTGTAGAACTCGCGGTGAATTTTTTTATCCGTCTCGATCACATGACATTCTGTTGGGGCACGATTGCGCCCCGCTGACATTTGTGCTTTAGGGTGTCTACCCTCTGAAGGCGCTGTTGTTATGCCTAGGTGCATGTCTCGCTTTAACGTCATCTCATTCTGCTCTTTCCAAGAATCGGGCTCGATCAAGTTTGGCACAGAGTTAGCGTCGTTGTTATGCCTCAGCGTCATTAGCACGTACCGTTCGTAGTTGATAGTGCCGTCCTTGAGGGGTTCGAGCTGTCTCGTGAGTTTCCTTGCCTCGTCAATGGTCATCGGGTCTCTCCCGATCTTGGTCATCTGTGATGTGAGAACCTGATGGTCGATCTTTCCGTAACCGAGACCGTTCTTTCCAGCAAGGAGGCGGAAGCAACGAAGCACTTCATGCATTGAGTTTGGCGGCTTTGGTTTGTGACTCATCATCTCCACAAATTCATCTTTTTCGAGCTCACCACTGCCGTCCGTGTCGACCTCGCTTATCAAGTCTTCGAGCTCCTCGATTGACACGTCCACCCCCACCAATTGCATCAGACTTTCGATCTCCGTGATCGCGATCGTTCCGCCATCGTCAGTATCCATCAAACAGAATACCTGATGCATTCTCCGCGCGAGCTCGTCTTCTTCCTCGCTTCGCTCGGCCATAGCTCTTACAGCACTATGCCGTCGAGCCATCTTCGAACGCGCGGTGCCTTCAGCCGCATCAGTCCCACAGGTGTTATCTTTTGATAATGGATGCAACTGGGCTCGTCTCGCAACAGGAGAATACGCGGTAGACATCACAGCTTACATATCGTGTGGTATGCCTAAGCAATTAAATGATACAACGATTTCCGTCCAAAACAGCATTTTGAGGCGGGGGCGTGTTGAATCCGCACTTTTTTAGGTTATTGGCTCTGCGCGCAAGACGACAATGGGCCCTTTCAGATGCAACAAGAACCAAAGGAATCGGTGGCCATGGCGCCGAGAACGAGCATGCCAAAGTAGCCCCTCGCCATTGCCAGAGCCCTCTTTGCCATCGATTTCCTCAAGATACAGGTCCGTCCTTCGAGTGCATAGTCTAAGCGCCCCCGCCTCATTTCTCGAAGAATGTCCAGATAGAAAGGTGCCACCCGGCGAATGGCCTGGCCGCGGCGGAGGCATGCGAAAGTCAAGTCCTATCTAGGCGGCTTGCTGGAATAAGACCCTCTTGGCCGCGGCCTAGGCGCCGCCTGACTCCCTGACACTTATCCAATCCTTCCCTCCCCAAAAGAAGATTTTCCTGGGGTGCGCTCCAGGCGCACAATAATAGAAGGGGACGTCAGCGACAGACGATAACTCGTACTCGAGTACGCGATATATCTTCTGTCTCTCTCCTCTGTATCCTGAATATCCTGGCTGATATATCCTGGCGGCTATATCACCAGCACATAAAACGCCTCGCAATATTGATGATCGGTACAGCGCGTTGCGGTACTCGTACGAATGCGCATCTTGAAATATGCGCATGAGCGCCAAGTTGCAGAACGTGACGCGAGTAAAGCGGCGCGGGTGAAGGTGCACGTTCCTAACAATTTGACCGCCAGACCTCAGCGAGAAGGGGGGAAACGTCACTTCACGGCTCCATCGACTGGGTTCTACACTTCAGACCAGCCTCTTTCGGTATCTGGTCAGAAGTGGGACAAGAAGCGCAAAGTGCGAGACGAAGCGGGTCAATTTAAGTCGCGCTTCAGCTGCAGCGACACCTCGGAGTTTGGAGACATGGGAACAATCAGACACTACCAAGACAAGTGAACCCGGAGTACTTTCATATACTGTTCTCCAGACCATTCATAGTGGACTCCGACATCGCACAGGGATAAATCACGAACCTACTCACACAGGGAATTGCTTTTCCCATCAACTCGCAGCATGAAGGCTGAGATGAGTGTCGGTTTTGGTGATCTCAATTGTGTGGACGAGTGGGAAAAAAAAGTCTTGAGTAAGTAGCCTTTCTACCCACCGAGCTCACTCATAATACGATGCACAATCCAGGTACCCAGGGCCAATATGTAAATCACAGAACTCAAAATGAAGCGATGGGACTCATTGCCACTGATTTCCGAAAAAGCATGCCAAATCCAGCGCATAGAAGCGGTCCGGGGCCTTCCAATTCCTATCATCGCTGACTATCGCAGTCTGTTGTTGTGCTTTCTTTTTTAACGTTAGATGAGCGCGAGAGCCCCGATTACGAGGCTGCGCCCCCCCCCCCCC